GTAGCTGCACATCCTTCTAGTTGCTGTATGCGGGACTCGGCCTCAGGATGAACGGAGAAGTGGTGCCGCGATGCGCACCCGGGATCCGGACCCGGGCCACCAGCATCGCAGCGCGCGCACTTAACCACCAAGCCACAGGGCCGGCCCAAAACTGAATTACTCCTTAATGTGACACCTCATCAGTGGGGCCAGGTGCTATCAATTTTTTGTTTATATCTTTGGTAATTGGATGCAAATGAAACGGGCATTTTGCCAGTTTTGTTTTTCCCAGGCAAAAAGGTATTTAAAAAAGAAATTTTACTATAAAGAAAATGAAGCCCAGTTTATGTAATGTATTAATCTCACTATTTAAAAAACACTTATTGGATTATATACTACGTCAAAATAAAACTAAGGCCTAATAACTACAAAAGAATTTTGATACTTTGGAAAGTGAATGTACTGAATGCATTTGTTTAATTCTATATATATTCCTCATAAGCTAAATTTCCAAGATGATTGATGGCACACAGACTTTGCATATTAAAGTAAGGGAAGTAAAAACTATACCTACTAAACCAACAGATTGGAGGAGAAAGGGATATATTGACTGATTCTGGCAGGATTTTCCCAGAAAGCGCAAGAAGATAGAATGTAATACGTAGATGTCTCTAATATGAGCTATACATATTTTGTATTAGTATAATTACTAACAACATTCTTACTGAGCAAGGGCTTGCCATGCAATACGCATAAAAAGCCATTGTTAACGGCAACAGCCTTTGCGAAAAGAAAAGTAGCTTTACTTTTGCGATCAATCTGCAGGGAGACAAGAAGCATATGCTCTCATATCTGTCTCCCTGATCCAGGGCTTGGGGCAAAATTTATGGATGAAGGGTAGGGTGGTCTGAAGCGTGGAGAGAGATGTTTGGAGGTAAGGAGAAGTGAGGTAATTGATGCTCTGTGCAAGCGTTGTCAAGCTTCATGGCTCTTCACAGGATGTTCACAAATTGGTGGTGTTAGCATGATCTGAGGGTGGAGTTTTCAACCCTTGGACGTCAAAAAGGTCACTTATGCAGTCTTTTTGCAGGCCTGGTTGAAGGGTTGGTGGGCTGAACTGGCCTGAAGTGGACAAGGGGTCTCAGTTCCTGAAAAATCACTCTTTTTAAAATTTTTTTGGTGAGGAAGATTGTCGCTGAGCTGACATCTGTGCCAGTCTTCCTCTATTTTGTATGTGGGATACCGTCACAGCATGGCTCATGAGTGGTGTGTACGTCTGCGCCTGGGATCCGAACCAGCGAACCCTGGGCCACTGAAGTGGAGCACTCAAACTTAACTGCTACGCCACCAGGCCGACCCCAAAACCACTCTTAATACCTGTTAATGAGATGGGGTCAGTTGAACTGGTCCTGCAGGGCCCATGGTTACAATATGACTTTTCTCTGTTATTTGTGTTATGAAATTCTACTTCCCAAGAATTCTTATAGCAATCTTTTCTTTATTTCTTTTAAATTTCTGGATATCAATTTGAAACTTTACTTGAAGCCATTTAGCTTGCAAGATTCATGTCAATCACATTGTATTCAAAAGCTTTGTTTTTTTCCAACCACAAAAAGATAGTGGTGCATATTAGCAGTTGATTGATCTTTATGTACGTAATTAAATTGTATCAATAAGATGAAATGGGCATTATTTGCCAAAGTACATTTATATATTTCTTAAAAATCTTATTTCTATATAATGATTTGATTCTTACTTTGTCAACGTGTCCTACAAACAGAAAACTGATTTTATAAATCGTTGTTGATATCACTAATTTGCTTGGTTAAAGCAGTCATGATGTCTGCATTTTTATCAAATATAGTAGGTTGAAGTCTATGGATTTCAAAGATATTTATATTTATTTTCACTCTAGAAGCTGATTTGAAGTATAACAGTGTAGAAATACGGTTCAGGTGAAATGAGAGTTGGTAACTTTAATTTGGGTGACATTATTAGCCGTTTAAAAAACCACTTTAAGCTTCAAATCCTTTCTTGCACAAGGTTATAAAGAAAAGCAAGTAAAATAAATTGCAGTTACATCTGAAAATGAGCATGGACTAATTATTGTGCTCTTTCAAATGAGCAGTTGCAAATGCATCTCTGTGGGTTTTCATTGCAATCACAAATTAAAGTAACTCTAGTAGATATTCTGTATAGGAAGAGGAAAATTTAGAAAATAGTGAGAAATGTTTCTGCCAATATTATCCGCTTTACACATTAGTAGAACTTATCTAAAAGTTTTTTATGTGGAAGGACCTCCTTCCCACCCTCCACCTTTCAAAAATACCTCCTCATTCCATATGAAGTATTGCTGGAAAGTCTGCCATTGGAACAGGTTGCCAGAGGAAGGGTTTTTCTTCTTTTAGAATGCACATATCCCTCATTAAGTTAGCATAGGCTCTAATCAATTATTCATTGATCAATTTCAAAACTTTGTCATATGTGTCTCCTCTATGAGAACTAGGAGGCGTCAGGGCCACTGGAAAATGAGAGAAGAAAGAGAATTGTGCTATTGTGCTACTGTGTGCTGGATGATTGTGGGGAAAGTCAGGAGAAGGGTGAGAAGTAGAGATGGGAAGATGGGAGAGTACAAAAGACAGTTCTTTATCATTGCTCCTAACTCTGCCTCCGGCAAATAATGTTAAACTTGGAAATTAGGCTGTTCTAGCTTGATCACCTATTGGTGCATTTGAATGCATTGGAAGTGCTTTCTTGAAGAAAATATTTTCGAAATGAGAACTTGTGTATAGGCTGTTTAAACTGCACAGGTTTGTCTATTTAAACATCAGAATGCTATAAAATACAATGATTTGTGTGTTGGTTAAAAAATCCTATGTGGCTTCCTTATTAAAAAAAAAAAAAAGCAAAGAATGGGGCTGGCCTGGTGGTCAAGTTCGTGCGCTCCACTTTGGCGGCCCGAGGTTTGCAGGTTCGAATCCCGGGTGCGGACCGAGGCAACGCTCCTCAAGCCATGCTGTGGCGGCATCCCACATATAAAATAGAGGAAGATTGGCACAGGTGTTAGCCCAAGATCAATCTTCCTCAGCAAAAGGAGGAGGATTGGCAACAGATGTTAGCTCAGAGCCGATCTTCCTCACCAAAAAAAAAAAAAAAAGAAAAGAAAAGAAAACCAAAGGAAAAGATATTTTTAATTAATCAGACATGCAGAGATCTGATTTAAAACAGAATGAAATTTCATGTCTATAAACTTAGCTTGTGAATGTAAATTGAATGACAGAAGGCGGTAATTAGCCGTAATTATTGAAATTACCAGACCAGTCTAATCTACTTAAACAAAACAAAATATTTCTAAAACTTTTGTCTGTAGATAAATCATTTATAAAATACAAGATGTTTTATAATGAAATAGGAGTAATTAAGGTAAAGTCAACTTTATTCAACCTTAAATAATTATTTGTAGCTGTTATACGTCGGTTCATTTCACAAATTTTTATTGAATGCTTACCACATTTCGGGCACTAGTCTAGGTTCTGGGGACAGCTAGGAACAAAGCAGGCCCACTCCCTGCTGTCAAGGAGCTTACCTGTAATCATGGTAGCCAGAGCCCAGAATAATTCAAAGAAGAAAGATTACTTATAGTTTTATCATAAAGACCATTTTCTCACGTTCTGAGAATTAATTTTTTTAACAGCATAATTATGTGGTGAATTTTATTTTCTTCATTTGCACAAAAGGAGAATCTTGGAGATGAAGATGCATGTTTCTTTATATTAATTTCGTAAATAAAGTTAAGTCTTTCAAAAACTATAGTTTGAAAGGCTGCTATCTTCCAGCACTGTTTTAAGTATAATTGCAGTTAGAAAAATGGATCAGAAACAGATCCTGGGGCTGGCCCCGAGGCTTAGCGGTTAAGTGCGCGCGCTCCGCTGCTGGCGGCCCGGGTTCGGATCCCGGGTGCGCACTGACGTACCGCTTCTCCGGCCATGCTGAGGCCACATCCCACATACAGCAACTAGAAAGATGTGCAACTATGACATACAACTATCTACTGGGGCTTTGGGGGAAAAAATAAATAAATAAATAAATAAAATTAAAAAAAAAAAAGAAAGAAACAGATCCTGACCTCAAGGCATAGTGGATTATAGGAAATACACCAAGGACAGAAGAATGAAAGAGAAACATCTGGAAAATAGGCTTTGCGCCAGTCTCTGTAGTTAATAGAATGAGACAACTGTGTGTGTGTGTGTGTGTGTGTGTGTGTGTGTGTGTATAGCAGGGCAGTACTATTCCCCCAATATAAGTGTTGAAAATTTTGTATTTTCAGTTTTATATTTCTCTAAAAGATTAAAACTTGTACTCGTTTTAGTATCTTCTCTCTCCAGCTCAGAGTGTGGAAATAGTCTCTGGTAAGAGTTTCCTAAAATCCATGCCTTACTAATATTTTAGGTGATTATATACCTGGGATTTCCTAGTCTCTTTCTTATCTAGAGGCTTCCTAATTTTTCCTAACAAGAATGATGATATGGAAATAATTGATAAATGCATTAAAATTTCCCTATAGAATAATGAAAAGCTAGTATCTGAAAGGATACATAGATTTATGAAATAAATATTACATTAATATTACATTTAAAAGTTGAAGAAAAATGAGAACTTAGGAACAGAAACTCATCAAATGTTTTAATCAATTACTGATATTTTGATTTATGCTATACAAAAGCCTCAGTTGTTAGGAACACAAACAATGATAAGTCCTCAAATGGGTAAGTTGTCTCATTTCTGTTTTACTGGTGTAAAAATGAAAACATAAAGATCGTGTGGCCTTTCCACCTACTGAGTTATTAGCTTAAGTGAAAAGGGGCCCAGGCTTGCTGACTGGTGCATTACCAGTGGTTACCGCTGTGGTTTATGGAACAACTGGAATTAGATAGGGCCGCAAAAAAAACGATTATAGGGAGTTTTAAACCTTGACTCTTGTGAGAAGGTCAATTGTGTATTTCTTTTGCTTTGCTTTGTAGTTACCAGCTGACAAGTGGATACAAGCCTGCCCCAATGGACCTGAGCTTTATCAAACTCACCCCGTCTCAGGAAGCGATGGTGGACAAGCTGGCAGAAAATGCTCATAATGTGTGGGCCCGGGATCGAATCCGGCAAGGCTGGACTTACGGCATCCAGCAGGTACGTGGGAACTTAGCTCTATGGCACGAGGGCTGAGATTTACGTAAGAGGGAATCAGTATTATTTGTAACAGAAGAGATTAAATAATGACTGTTTTAAAACCTATATAGATATTTTAATGTATATTTGTGCTAAAGCACCTGTTTCATGCTGGACTTAAGTCAGACGACCCCAACTCTGGGTGCTATCGTGAGGTACGCAGTGAATATTACCAGAACGGTGATTTATAATGTGGTTTTGTGGCATTTCTCTCTCTGAGGTTGTATTTTAGGAGAAACTTTCGAAATGTGAGAAGATTGAGATAAAAGAACAATAAAAGAAGTCCACAATTCCTTATTTAGAACCCCTGGGGCCAGGTGAATTTCAGAATCCAGATATTTTTTGGTTTTCAGAATCCTGATGTGATGATGTATTACATGTTGCATCGCACCCTCAGCAGGGCAGCAGACTATAAATTGCTGTTTGTTCAGTGCGATGTGGGCATGATAATACCGAGAGGGATAAATAAAGACTAGAAACAGCCTTGCATCAGTTCAGATCATATTTTGCCACCAAATGAGTTTTTGTTAAACTTAATAAAAAATGAGTTTTCTGGATTTCAGAATCATGGATCTCTATTAATGGTCGCACTCATGGGAGTAACTAACAGTCACTGAGTGCATATTGGGGCAGCACAGCAGAGGGGTTAAGAGCAAATTTTAGGCTTGCCTGTTAGTGACCTTGGTCAGGCTACTTAAATTAAATTCCCTGTGCCACTGTTTTCCTCATCAGTAAATTATTTAACTTCATTATATAATTTATGTATGCAAAAGGCTTACGACAGTGCCTGGCATCTAACAAATACTGTACAACAGTCTGTTATTGTTATTGGATACTGGTCACTATGCTTAGAGTTTTACATGTATTTTCTTCTTTACCTATCACAACAATTCCATGAAGGATGCACAGTTTTTATTCCCACTGCACATATGGTGAACAGGGAGCCTTAGAGAGAGCCATTTGCCCAATTCTACGCAGAGGGCGGAACCAGGTTGGGATCGAGCCTTCTGACTCCAGAACCATAATTCTTCACTTCTTGATCACAATGCAGTGCCTCTTGCCAGCTCATGGTGGCTTGCCTTTTCTTAAAGATTTTCAGGAATAAGATGGAGTGTTACTTATAGGCTTAGACTATGGTTTGGTATAAAGCCTAAACTTTGGTGTGAAAAATGTATTTCCAAAATCTTTCTAAGCCAGTGACTTTTGTCATTCGGAAGGCTAAAGAAAACTTAAATAGCTTTAATTTACCTGATAAGATGATATTTTTATATTGAATTAAACTGGTTGTAACTGATGAGAATGTCAACACTAAATCTGCTTTAGCATTTGTGTGTGTGAGTGTGCGTGCGTGTGTGAACCTGAACCTTGAACCACAGGAGAATAAGGAGTACATAATTGCTCTCTGCCGAAGGAGGGCTTACTTGCCTTGAAGACCATGTGGTTCTGTCAGACAAACCAGGATTTCCTGGAGGGTGCTCCTGCCTTGTGCATGTGGTTCCTTTCCTCGTAAAAACACAAGGCTCTAGGGGCCGGCCCCGTGGCTTAGCGGTTAAGTGCATGTGCTCCGCTACTGACGGCCCGGGTAAGGATCTGGGCGCGCACCGTTGCACCGCTTGTCCGGCCATGCTGAGACAGCGTCCCACATACAACAACTAGAAGGATGTGCAGCTATGGCATACAACTATCTACTGGGGCTTTGGGGAGAAAAAGGGGAAGAGAAAAAAAGGAGGAGGATTGGCAATAGATGTTAGCTCAGAGCTGGTCTTCCTCAGCAAAAAGAGGAGGACTGGCATGAATGTTAGCTCAGGGCTGATCTTCCTCACAAAAAAAAAAAAACACAAGGCTCTCATTTGAACCATTCTCCATCCCCTCTCCCAGCTGCCCCTCCCGTCCCTTCACCACATTCCCCACTGACATAGCACACGTTTGCTGGATTATTTGAATGAGTGTTGTCTTTCATTTTTCGTCACCATCTTGTTAACATAATCTAATTCAGAACTAGATTGTAAACTCCTTGAGAGCAGGGGTTTACTTCAGATACCTCTTCTTTGTCTCTCTAGCTTGATTTCAAACATTAGTGTGCATGGAAATCCCTGGGGAGCTCTTTTTAACAGTCAGATTCCCAGGATACCATTTCCAGAGAGTATGGTTCATTAGAGGCTTCTGAATTTCTATATGGGAAGAGTTGGGGGGCAGCAAGCATGTTGAAAGGGAACGGCGCAGGCTCGTGTGTCTTGAAGCTGCCCCGGCAGTGCAAGCACTCTGTTTACACTGCTTGTTTATTCTTGCCTGCCAAGCAACCCAGATGATTTTGACTTTGTGTCAGTAGGTGTGCATGTATTCAAGATTAGGTATTTAGTACAAATTTGCTAGAGAGAGGGAAGAAGAAAGTAGGAAACAGCTTTTTCCTTGCTCCTAGCCAACCAGAACAGACCCTGTCCACCACAAAGCTTGTTTTTTTGAGAAGGTTTGGGACTGTCCACAGCCTCCTAATTCTTCTTCAAGCTAAGGTAAATTGAGAATTGAGTGTGGGCTTGAAATATGGAGCAGAGTCTCAGTGAGTGAAGGAAAAGAAGCGATGTCTTAAGTAGTAGTGCCCCAAAGATTTGCTGTCGTTGGTGCACCTCCACCTCCCGTGAGAGAAAGTTTTCTACTTTACTCTAAAATTAGAGATCCTTTTGCCAAGATAGCAAGATAGCCTGTTTTCTTGCTTTGTCAACACCATTTTAACCTCATTTTAAACTTGGAGCCTCTTTTACAATAGACATGTTGTGAGTTTTCTAGTTATGTCGGTCCTCCTGGTATTACCTGGTATCACTGGTTGATGGAGTCAACTTAATGCATATTTTTCAAGCTATTTGAGGTCATAGAATGGCCTTTTGTAACACGCTGGGTTTTTTCTTAAGAAGGGACAGCAGCCTTGTGTTGTCCATTGACACAAAATCACTGAGAAGTGACCAGTACTAATTTGACTCCTTTTGTAACAAAAACTTGTCAGTCAACTGTGCAAGGAAATTATATGTTCTCTGAGTTAACCCATTGCCTTGTGACCATGGCAGATGGAAGATGGTTAAAGAGATCCTTCAACTTGGCTTTTGTTATTGCTGTTGTTATTTTTACTTTTTCTTCTCATAGAGGGGGCCTGCTTTAAATTGATGCAGTTATTCATTTGATTAAATCTTTTATATTGATAGTGGTTCAGTAACTTGTGTTGCCTGAGAAGACAAAGGAAACATGGAAGGGGCAGTGTTTACCCTCAGAGGCTCTACATTTTGATGTATTTGGTGGCTGTCTCATTTCCAAAAGCTGTTGGTATTGCATTGATGACCATGAACCTTTTTTCTTCCTGTAGGATGTAAAGAACAGAAGAAACCCTCGCCTTGTTCCCTACGCCCTTCTAGATGACCGAACCAAGAAGTCAAACAAGGACAGCCTCCGTGAGGCCGTGCGCACGCTGCTGGGGTATGGCTACAACCTGGAGGCGCCAGATCAAGACCATGGTATTTTGGTTTTGCTTTGTTCTCCTATGGTTGCAAAATCCTGTAGTAGTTCTTTAAAGCCAAATAAATGAGTAAAAGGGGGAGTACAAGACACAGTGCTTTAGTCTAAGTATATAATTTAGGTCAGTAGATTTTTTTTTCCTGGACACTTGAAGAATTAGATCCGTCTCTGGGCAGAGTGGCTCAGGTCTGCAGTGATTCTGCAGGGGGAAGAAATGGGTTTACCTTCCTGAAGAGTCTGAGGTGAACATTTAACTCTGATTCTGATACTTTCTGGAACTCTCCTTCAGAAGAGCTGGTTTTAGTTGTTTATGGGAGTAAACCTATAGTGGGAGCTAGTGTTTTCTAAGCCTTCATTATTTATCCTCATACATACAGGTATTTTGCTTTAAGGAAACCACATTAGAACAGGCACCTGAAGGGAACCGGCCCCGTGGCTTAGCAGTTAAGTGCGCGTGCTCCACTACTGGTGGCCCGGGTTCGGATCCCAGGCGCGCACTGACGCACCACTTGTCTGGCCATGCTGAGGTGGTGTCCCACATACAGCAACTAGCAGGGTGTGCAGCTACGACATACAACTATCTACTGGAGCTTTGGGGAGAAAAAGGGGGAGAAAGGAGGAGGATTGGCAATAGCTGTTAGCTTAGTGTCGGTCTTCCTCAGCAAAAAGAGGAGGATTGGCATGGATGTTAGCTCAGGGCTGATCTTCCTCACAAAAAAAAAAAAAAAGAAAGAAAGAATAGGCACCTGATAAAGATATGTTGAATAAATGGATTTTTAAAGGTTCTAAAAAGAACACATTTCCCTTAAATAATACCTTTTAAGAATATGTTTAAAATGATTAACTCCTTAATCCTTTGCTCCTGCAGTTTGAGTTGATATTAATATCCATATTTTAAAGTTTGCAAAAATGAAATGAGGTCTGTGTTTCATTATCATGCTGGTATTTTTTTGATAGGACTTTTTAAAAAATCTATCCCAAATTTCCTGACTAATATTTTCAGTGTAGTATCTGTGCATAGGAATCTGGACCTTAAATAGTAGTAATAGCTAATATTTATATGGTACTTATCATGTGCAGCAAGTGTTTATAAGACCTTTACAATTATCATTTAATCCTCACAGTAACTCTATGAGGAGGGTCCATGTATTATACCCATTTTACAGATAAGGAAACTGAGATTCAGAGACCTCTGTGTCTTCCTGTTTACTAAGTGGTAGATGCAGGATCCCAACCCCAGACTTTCTGATTCCAAATTGCAGTCCTGGAAGTTGAATCAGCATGTAGTTAGCATCTCGACAGCTCTTAGTGCTGAATCCTTATATTTGCTGCAAATAAAATTAGGTATCTTCTTGATAACAGTAATATTCATAATCATAATATAACTTCTTGTTTATCTTGAGGTCAGCTTTGTAGCAACAAATATTTGGTAGACTCATTATGAAGCAGATGCTGCTAGGTATGCAAGATACTGAAACGATCCCTGTCTTAAGGAGTATGTAGTCCACACGACCACTGGGTTGGAAGTAGATGATAAAAGGCTTCTAACCAAGACATAACCATCAGAAAGAGTTCTACAACTGTCTGGTCTAGAATAAGCCCTCAAAGCTAATTGGATCTTTTTTAATTATATTTTTAAATTAAGGTATAATTTACATATAATAAGATGCAGTGTTCAATTTGGTGAATTTTGACAATTGTACACAGGAAAAGAACCACCACCCAAAACAACATGTAGAACATTTTCTTCATCAGAGAGACTTTCCTCCTGCCCCCAACAAAGTAACCCCTTTCTAAATTCTGTCATCACAGATTAATTTTGTCTGTTGTACTTTGCATTAATGTAATCACTACATATATTTTATTTTTGTATCTGCCTTCTTTTGCTCAACATAATGTTTTTGTGATCGTACATTTTTTTTTTGTATGTATCACAGAATTAATTGCTGAGTAGTGTTCCACTGTACTAATAAACCACAATTTGCTTATCCTTTCTCCTATGGTTAAAGGTCTGGGTGATTCCAGTTTCTGTCTATTATGAATAAGGCTGCTATGAATATTTATAGACAAGTCTTTGTGTAGATTTATACTTTCATTTCTCTTAGGGTATATGCTTAGGAGTAAAATCGCTGGGTCATAGGACAGATGTATGCTTCACTTTATAAGAAACTTCCAAATGGCTCTGCAAATTTACCCCCATGAACAATATATGAGGGTGCCAGTTGCTCCTACCTCCTGGCCAAGAATTGGTAGTACGTCTTTCTGATTTTAGCCATTCTGGTAGATGGGAATTGGTATCTTATTGTAGTTTTAATTTGCATTTTCCTCGTGAATAATAATGTTGACATCTTATCCTATACTTATCAACCATTGGTATATCTTCTTTTATGAGGTGTCTGTTCAAATCTTTTATCCATTTAAAAAACTGGGTTGTTTTGTCATCTTTTCATTGAATTGTAGGTTTTATGTATGTATTCTGGATATAAGAACTATGTCAGATATTAGGAATATCTTCTTCCAGTTTGTGGGGTGCTTTTTCATTTTCTTAATGAGATCTTTCAAAGAACAGACATTCTTAATTTTGATGAGGTCCATTTATTATTTTTTCTCTTTATGGTTGTATGTTTTATGCCCTAAGAAATCTTTGCCTATGCGAAACCAGAGATTCTCTCTTACATTTTCTTCCAGAACTTTTATTGTTTTAACTTTTTTGTTTAGGTCTGTGATCTAGTTTGAGTTAATTTTTGTGTATGATGTGAGGTTAAGTCAAGGTTCATTTTCTGTCCAGATAGACATCCAGCTGTCCCAGCACCATTCGTGGGAACAATTATCCTTTCCCATTAAATTACCTTGGCACCTTTGTCAAATATCTATTGACCATTCTGTTCCATTGATCTATATGTCTATCCTTAAGCCAATACCACACCATCTTTATTATTATCACCTTATAACAAATCTTAAAATCAGATAGGGTGAGTCTTCTAACTTCTTTCTTCTTTTTTAAGAGTTTCTTCACTCTCCTTTTTCCTTCACATTTCTATATACATTTTAGATTCAACTTGTAAATTTGATTTTGATGGGATTACAGTTGAATTTATAGATCAGTTTGTGGAGAATTGACATTTTAATAATATTTAGTCTACCAATTCATGACCATGGTGCATCCTCCATTATTTTGGTCCTCATTAGTTTATCTCAGCATTGTTTTGTAGTTTTCAGAGTAGAGGTTTTGCCCATTATTTGTTAGATTTATCTGATATATATATTTTTTTTTTTTTTGCTGAGGAAGACTGGCCCTGAGCTAGTATCTGTTGCCAATCTTCTTTTTTTTTTGGCTTGAGGAAGATTTGCCCTGAGCTAACATCTGTGCCAGTCTTCCTCTATTTTTCACGTGGGTTGCTGCCACAGCATGGCTGATGAGCAGTGCGGGTCCGCGCCCAGGATCCAAACCTGCGAACCCAGGCTGCCAAAGCAGAGCATGCCGAACTTTAACCACTGTGCCACAGGGCTGGCCTCAAGATTCATCTGATATTTTTGATACTATTGTAAATGAAATTAGTTTTAATTTCATTTCATCTTCCAGTTGTTCATTGTGAATATGGGAAACAATTGATATTTGTATATTGACCTTATATCCTATGATCTGGCTAAATTTGTCAGATTTTTTTTTTGTAATGAAGAATTACAATGTTGAATAGAAGTGGTGAGAGAGGTTATCCTACCTTATTCCCAATCTTAAGGGAAAAAGTTTCAATGTTGCACCATTAAGTATGATGTAAACTATAGGCTTTTTATAAATGCCCTTTGTCAGGTTGAAGAAATTCTCTTTTATTCCTAGTTTGTTGGGAACTTTTATCATGAATGGAGTGTTGAATTTTGCCATTTATTGAGATTGTATATTTTTATCCTTTATTCTGCTCATAATGTGAATAACATTGATTTTTGAGTGTTGAAACAAGTTCGCATTTCTAGTATAACTTTTACTTGAGTCTTCAAGGAAAGAGTTAATTATGGTCAGTATCCAAGAAGGGGAGTACATTTTATGCCATACAAAGAAATGTGCAGTATATGCCAGAAAAAAAAATAATCACTGATGATTATTTTTTAAAGACATTATCAGTTAATGGCATAAACTGTGTCAGTTATGCAGTTTAACAGTTTGTGCCATATCTGATGTATTCACTTTTAGGGAGAACTTTATTCCAAGATGATGCTGGATAAGATATTATTCTGATGACATATAATGTTTTATACTATTTACAACCATAATATAATTTCATCTTATGTTAAGGCCCCTGCGAGGCAATTTATTACTACCTTATAGTTACCTACTTTCTTGTGACTTACCTGAATTTCAAGAAGAAAGAAAAGGAGCTTATATTTACAAAATCCATGTTTGGGTTACATGTTACTTCTATATTTCAAATCATCCTAATTTTGATTTGATTTTAATACATAGTTATTGAACATCTATTGTGCCTAGTTCTGGGGATTCAAAAATGAATAAAACAATTTTTGCCCACAGGTAGCTCTCAGGGTAGGCAGGAAAGATAGACTAAATTGTCAACACTGTTATATGGTGTAAGCATTAGTGCCCAACTGTTACAGCACAGAGTTTAATTCAGCTTGGTGGAGAAATGTTCATAGAGGAGGTATATTAGTTATCTATTGCTGTGTAACAGATTTCACCACCAAACTTGATGGCTTAAAACACCAAACATTTCTTATCTCAAAGCTTCTGTGGTTATGAATTTGTGAGTGGATTAGTCAGGTGGTTCTGGATCTTGGTCTCTCTTGAGTTTGTTACCAAGTTGACCAGAGCTGCAGTCAGCTGAAGATTTCAGTGGGGCTGGAGGATTTGCTTCTAAGATAGTTCACTTGCATGATTATTGGCTAAAGGACTCAGTTTCTCTCTGGCTGTTGGCAAGAAGCCTAAGTTCCTTGTCACATAGACCTCCTTATGGAGATGCTTGAGTGCCCTCACATGGCAGCTGGCTCC